GAATTTGCATTATGAAAATGGACATCCATGGAGCTCCTTTTCTAGATATCATTTAATTTTTTCACTCTTTGACTTCTGTTCCAGTTGTAATTTGAACACACGTGGAAGTAACTTACATGTTTTACTGCTGAGAGTTGAAATAGGATATTTGTGTTAATCTTTACTTAAGAACAAAGATGTTGTGTGGCCAAGAGCATGGCTGGTCACGACTTGACAAGTCCAGTGTCTTACCATGAATGTTGGCTCATAGCTTCCTTACTCCCACATCTCAGACTGCTGGCCCCTCTCCCCTAGATCTACCTACTGATGTTATCACAGAGAGAGAGAGAATCTAAGGTACCTACTCAAGGCCTTTCTAACACAGTGGCCATATGAAACGTAATCACAGACCCCAAAAGGAATCTAACTTAGGTTAGACACATGACTCTCAAACACAAAGACTCCAACAAATATATTTACATTATATATATATTTGTTTGCATATAAATATATGTATATTTATAGGCCAAACCTTCCTAAGACAAATCTCTCTCTTCATGTGAATTTGGAATGCTTTAATATACTAGCAGCTCCATTTGTATGTTTATTTGCCGATGATTATGAAATTCTTTAAATATAAACTTCTGAAAGAATTTCTTGTGATAAATCCTGAAATTAGGATAGTTTTCGATGTTTCAGTAACAAACATGAAATCTGAGACTATAAAACTTTATCTCTTCTCCACCTTATGGTCTAATACAAGAGTAGTGGCTCTTTTAGGCCATTCTTCTCCAAATCATGATGTAGTGAACTAGGCTGCATCCATCTCTTAGTGATGCCATCTGGAGCATTTGCCTTCCAGGGCTGCCATGGAAGAGAGAGCTTGGATAATCCTATTGGGATTTTAATGGTCACACTAGAGAGACAGAATCACTTTCCCCATCCCTCATTAGCCATAATCCATTCTCTTAGCCCTACCCTAACCACTGGGGATGCTGTGAAGAGTGCTCATACCATGCCAGGAAGGGAAGAATGAAATGGCATTTGGTGGATACACAGCATTATTTCCGTTACAGTCCCCTTCATTGACCTGATTCTTGGCTCATTTGTCAAGTTTGAATTTAACAGCCTTACCATTCTCCTGCTCTTATAATTTGGTGTCTTGAAGGTACTTATCATTCATATTTTGAGTAATATCATATTTAATTTGATTATAGAGTTCCTGTTCCTTTTACTACTTTGGTGGTGCAGATCCACCATGAAGGTGCAGAGTGTGTAGGTTCAAGAGTTTCCATGTTCCAGTCCGTCAACTCTCCTCCCCCTAGCTTTGAACTTCCATCCTGCATTTATCCATTTACTTCCAAAGGTCACCCCTCTTTCACCAGATAACCTGTATGAGAAGTATGTGAGTAGCCATAGTATATAGATTTTTTGTAACTTAAATGATTGAAAAAAGATGATTATTTTAGAATTTAGGATTTTGAGAATCTGCCTTTAATCAGTTCCCACAAGCTATTAGACTCTTCAGAACCAAATACCCCATTGGCTGATCAACAAAGTAAAATGCCAATTTTTGTTTGGGTCCACAGTTGCTAAATAGATGAGTATTGGCATTTCAGAGCATTCTCTTTCCAGCAGACAATTCTACTAGGGAAACTACAGAGAACAGAGGTAGAGGAAAGGACTTAGAAAACATCTGCAACAGGGATTTCAGTCTTGCAGAGATATAGATTATCTGTGCCTTCTTGGCTGGGTGGGGCTGGAGAGATACTCCTGCACAATCAATTGTTCGGTGCTTCCTTTTCAGTGTTATTTGTCCATCACCAAAAATTTCATTTCAATGTTACTTCAAGGCTTTTATAATTAATTGGATTACATTTCAGTTGGCATTAATTCATTTTCAAGGAGATTACGAGGATATTTTCTAGTAAAATGATCAGTCTTGCACATTTGCGCTGATTTTGCTTAGTTTCAACTTCAGAGGGTTGCATTCTTCATCTCCTCTTCCCAGTACGTGGTATAGGCCTGGCATATAGCTGGTGTTGGTAGATGTTTGCTCACTCAGCAAATATTGATTAAGGGCCTGCTATGCACTAGGCATTATGGCAGGTGGGGACACCCTGCAGTGAGTGGAAGAAGCAGTTTCAAGGGAGGGCTTGTTGTGGTCAGACAGAAGGAAAGATTGGAGCAGATGGGAAGTCGTGCTATTTATAGGAGCTGGAAGATGGGTACGGGAGGAGGGGCGCATGGCGCCGTGTTTGTCTCTGTGCTTGTCACAGGCTCCCTGAAAAGTAGCTGTTTTTCTTCCTTAAGACTCTAAAATGCAGGAGATACTAGAAATAGGTATGTCCCTGGGAGAAAGAGGCCCTTTAAAAGGGGGAAATGAGATAATTAAAGTGACCTTTATCAGATTTGACAATAATGGTTAGAATGCTATTATCTGCCCTTGTAATTACAGGCAAAAGTAGCGATCTAAAATAACTTTGTTTCCAACTCTTAGGCATGCTCCAGTGATTGTGTGGTTGAAAATTTTGAAAATAATGAATTACCTCTGGGGAGATGTAATCATTAACAGAATACAGTTAGGGAAACCTCTCTGCCTCTTGGTGTTATAGAAGCTTTCCTCAGAGCAATGTTAACCATCAACGACCCTGTTTGTGTAATATTCACAGTGCTGGTAGCTGACTTAATTAGCAATGAAAGAAGTTTCTGCACCCTGTCAGATATTCCCATGTATATAGTGTTAAGCATTGTCATTACTTTTACTATTACTTAGATTTTTTATATATATATTAGATTTTTAAAAGGAAATGAGTAGACATTCCATAATTTAGTTTCAGTGTAGACTCATCAGTTGATACACATTTGCTTTCAATAGGAAAACATGTCTAAAGTATAAGCATCTGCTTTATTTTTATGTTGGATAGATTGTCATTTGGGGCACACAGGAATCCATGCTGGCCACACACATGGGGCTCCCAGTTACTCTGTTGACTGGTGCTAAGCACCCCTTTTCTAGTGCTCATCACTGTGTTATTTTAGAGTGTGTCTGATGCAGCTCTCAAGATGATGCAGAATCATTGAATCTTCCCATTCTTCAGCTAAAGTAGTGTCAAGGAAAGCCTGCTATTAGGCAGAATTATAGAAAATCAGAAATGTTAGAGCAAGAAGGAACCTGAGGAATCTTCTGTTCCAGCCCTTCATTTTGTGTAGGAGGAAATAAAGACCTAAATTTAGGGCGTACAACTGGCTCAGAGTGGGACCTGTTCCTGTATCCTCAGTTACCATTTGGATTAAATGAGTTAATACCTTTATAACCATCAGAACGGTGCCCAGGATGTAGTGAGTGGCCAATAAATGCAAGTTATCACTTGTTATCATCATTCTTGGTGACAGAGCCCAAACAGGAACCCAGATGTCCTAACAGTCTGATGCTCTTTAGGAGGTACCTTTTGTATTTCCATGTTGTATAGGGAGAAACATGTTTTAAGAAGGTGAGTTAAAATAAAAATAGTGACAGCCACAGTGCTTATTATTGTGCACTTAGTGCTGATTTCTGGACGAAGTACTGCATATTCATGGCTTCCTACAATCCTCACAATGTCCCATGAGAGTCACACTCTTGCCTATCTCTGTTTGACACGTGAATATGGTCTCACCAGTAGTGAGAGGCTGGACTAGGTTTTAAACCCTGGTCTGACTTCAGAGGCTGTTCTTTTTTATTTCTTTTTTTTTTTGAGGCCGAGTCTCCGTCTGTTGCCCTGGCTAGAGTGCGGTGGCATCATCGTAGCTCACTGCAACCTCAAACTCCTAGTCTCAAGTGATCCTCCTGCTTCAGTCTCCTGAGTAGCTGGGACTACAGGCATGCACCATGACTAATTTTTTTATTTTTAGTAGAGATGGGGGTCTCACTCTTGTTCAGGCTAGTCTCAAACTCCTGAGCTCAAGTAATCCTCCCACCTTGCTTTCTCAGAGTGCTAGGATTATAAGCACAAGCCACCGTACCTGGCCCAGAGTGTGTTCTTAACCGTTATTTTATACCGGGAGTTGGCAACCTATGACCCACAGGTCAAATCTGGCCATACTTACTTTTGTATAATCTGCAAGCTAAAATAAAAAAATATATATTTTGTATATTTTTAAATGGCTGAAAAAAATAAAAAAGGATAACATTTCGCAATACATGGGAAAATTATGTGAAATTCTCATTTCAATGTCCATAGAGTTTTATTGGAAAACAGCCACACTTGTTTGTTTACATATTGCTTGACACTGCTTTTGTGACACCACAGCAGAGTTGACTAGTTGTAGTAGAGACCATGTGACCTGCAAAACCTTAAATATTTACTATTTGGCCTTTATAAAAAAAAATTGTAGACTCTTGTTCTATACTATTCCTCAGTGATTATATTTTATGAAATTCCAATTATTTAGAGTACAATTGTCTGATTTTTTAATAGGATCTGTTTCCTCCTGTTACTTGCCTTTTGGTTTGTTCTGTGTTAATTAACATATCAATTAGATGCAGAATAGCATGTATAAAGTTCACCTGTAAATTTTTTTGTCTATATCTTGCCTTTTTTTTAACAGACCGGGGGATGATTTGTTCCACACTTTTCATGCGTGGATTTGCTGAGTTGGAACTGGGATTTTCAGCCCGATAACTTCTCAACAAATATCTATAGGTGGTTCATTACAAATACTGCCCAGGAGGCCATGACATTGCTCAGGATTTATAACTGTCCAAGTAACAGTTGACATATTTGTAATTTCATGTTTTCTAGCTTTTGAAGTTTATGCCACAGATTAAGAACGTTCATGTATTATTCTTAGTAGTCGTCAGTTCTTGCCTTAGTTCTGGCCGACGTGGGAGACTGTTGATGATTACCTGTTACTGTTCTAACTGTGGACCGCAGCCATTTGTGGTTTGCATGCTGCTCCTGTTCATTTATTGAGCCGGTTATTTTTAAACCTCCTTGTGTCTTAGATGCAGAAATCACTCTATTTTCTTTCCTTTGTAGTGGTTTGTTGTCTTCTGATTATGTGGAAATTCACTACGAAAATGGGAAACCACAGTACTCTAAGGTACGGTCACTACTGTCTGGAAATGCTATAGTAAAGTATACTTCTCATGGGACTGAGCAGTACAATGCATGATTTTGATATCTATCTCAATAAAATCACCTGTCCTCTTACACAGTGGTGCTATTTTTAGTGAGGACAAATTTATGAAAACTTACAAATGTTTGAGATAACATTAGAGATTCTGTATATTCGGGACCATTAAGAGATATTTATTTTTCTAGTTATACATATAATACATTATGTAATGATATAAAGAACTATATGGTTCCCTATCAGCCCCTTAAAGTAGTAGATAAGGAAGGACCAGGCTCAAGGTCATCAAATGTGAATTAGAAGATTGGGGGGGGGAGTTACTACAATGACTGTTTACCAAGAAGGGCAGAGGACAGTTGGGGGAAGTAAGATTTAGGGAGTAGTTTTCTTCTTAACCTTCACAACAGTGAGGTAGATGTTGTCATTCTTGTTGTACAACAGAAGAAAGTGAGGCAGAGAGAGGGCAAATAAACCTGCTCAAGGCTACCAAGCATTGTGATATAAAGGTAATTGGATTTCCTTCAGTGGGAGACTAACTTTTCTGCTCTTTGTGGAGGGTCATTAAAGAGCAAGTGGATTTAAATTAAAGCAAGAGAGAGACTATTTGTATGCAAGAAACACAGTGATCTCCATCAAGGTGCAAATCCCTGGAATGGCTTCACAAAGCAACTCTGAGTTTTAGGAAGTCAACAGAGTGCCATTGAGCCTGAGCAGTACCCACAGGTACCAGGGGCATGGGAGAGGAAACAGAGGGAAACAAACAAAGTGGGGAAACAGCACTGGATTTTTTTTTTTTCTAGATTGCCAACAAGTGTTAGCATAAAAGTGGCACCTTTCATATGTAGATTTGCTAAGTTGGAACTGGGATTTTCAGCCCAATAGCCTCTCAACAAATATTTATAGGTGGTTCATTGCAAATACTGCCCAGGAGGCCATGACATTGCTCAGGATTTATAACTGTCCAAGTAACAGTTGACATATTTATAATTTCATGTTTTCTAGCTTTTGAAGTTTATGCCACAGATTAAGAACATTCATGTATTATTCTTAGTAGTCGTCAGTTCTTGCCTTAGGTTGCATCTTGGGGGTTGGTGACTCTCCCTAAAAGTTAATGCTGTGGGAAGTGAGCAGAAATGCTAAATCAAGTGCAGGATCGAACTTCCTGGCATTTGTACAAGCCAAAGCTTCTGTCAGCTGTGCCAAGCCCCTGAGCACTGTGGATGCTGAATCATGAGCCTAGAGTAGACAAGATTGCATGGAACTTTATAGACTCAGCAAATGAGCCACCTTTTCAGGACGCAGTAACCTGATCCAAATTTCTCACTAAGAAGCTTGGTCAATTTTTTTTTTTAAGAAGCAGAATAGCAAATTGGCCTCCAGAGGTCATTTGAGGTCCCAGAAGGAGTCTTTATTATTAATAAGACACTTCAAATCTCCTATCTGTTGTAACTAAAACTTAAAACAAAAACTATTTCAACTCTGGCAAAGGAAGTTGTGTTCACTGCAGTTTATTTTTGTGTTCACTGTTTTTCTCTCACATATGACCCATTTTCTCCAAACAGCTCCTATATCCAAACTTACTTGCTTCATAGATAATGAATGAACATCTGTTTTGTATGTGTCTTTATTTATACATACACCCAAAAAATCCAGGATGACATGGTGCATGCACACTGCCTTGTAGCACGATTTAAAATATCTAACAATATTATAAATAATTTCTCATGTATTAAATAATTTTCTAAGCCTTTATTTTTAAAAACTAGATAATATTCTTTCTAATTCATTTATTATAATTTTTTTTTTTTTTTTTTGAGACAGAGTCTCACTCTGTTGCCTGGGCTAGAGTGCTATGGCATTAGCCTACCTCACAGCAACCTCAAACTCCTGGGCTCAAGCAATCCTACTGCCTCTGCCTCTGAGTAGCTGGGACTACAGGCATATGCCACCATGCCTGGCTAATTTTTTTTATTATATTTTTAGTTGGCCAATTAATTTCTTTCTATTTTTAGTAGAGATGGGGTCTGGCCCTTGTTCAGGCTGGTCTCGAGCTCCTGACCTTGAGCAATCTGCCTGCCTTGGCCTCCCACACTGCTAGGATTATAGGCGTGAGCCGCCATGCCCAGCCTATAATTTGTTTTAAAATCCCATAATAATAGACATTTAAATTGTTTCCAGTGTTTCACTATACAAATAACTCTAAGGCAAGGCCTTCCAAATACATTTTGCATACATCTTTTCTTTTAATTTTTTTATTTTGCATGCATCTTTAAAAAAATTTTTTTTTATTTTGCATATATCTTTAATAGTTGCTTAAGGATTAATTCTGAGAATGGAATTTTTGGGGTCAAAGAATTAGTATCTTTTTAAAAGGCTTTTGGTACTTATACCAAATATTGTTAACAGTTTTTCTTTCTGAAAGTTTGTGTAAACTCACACCTCCACCACCATTACATACATAATTTTAAAGCATTTTTAATAAACTTCATGAAGATTGCCTTCCATATTATTTAAGAAAATCTTTGTATAGAAATACCAGAAAAAGAAATTAATATATAAGAATGGCTAGGTTAAACTTGTGTTTACACATTGTGCAAGCTTTCTTCCAAAGATCTCAAACTATTTAGACAAAAGTACATACACACAAAGCATGCATACACACACACAGAGTCACACACACAATATTATTCACACGACCAGAGAAGAACAGCCTATTTGGTTATGAAGTTAAGTATAAATGCAGACATGGACAATATTCTACAAATTAGCTGCAAACAAAATGATGAACCCACATGTTGAAAAGAGGATTGTGTAGGTTTTCCCACTTCACCACTACTAAGCCCCTTGCTTGTGCCCACTTCTTGCTAAGAAGAGGTTAATATCTTGGCTTTTACTCTTATTAGACAGAAGTGGTTTAAAAGGGCTTCTTTCCATGTGAAGCAAATATAGGAACTAGAGGTAAAAAATTATGTATGTATGTAATATAGGTGCTAGGTACCAGTGGATGCAGAAGGAAGATATTTTGTTCTGTACCAGACAGAGCAATAGCTTTTATTAGAGTTCCTTCTAATGCTTTGCACATAGTATACAATAAAACAACTTTGTTGATTTTTTAAAACTAATTTTAAAAGTAACTTATTTATTTTTCTCTTTTATTTAAACAAATTTTGGGGGGATATAATTTACATATCATAAAGTATACAATTAAATTGTTTTTAGTATATTTACAGAATTTCGCATCCATCAACATAATCTAGTTTTAGTATATGTGCTGCCGAAGTAAGCACAACATAATCTAATTTTAGAACATTTTCATCACCGCACAAAGAAACCCCCCACCTATTAACAGTTGCTCCCAGCCTCTCTCTCACCAGCTTTGTAAGTAATCACTAGTCTACTTTCTGTCTCTATAGTTTGCCTATTCTGGACATAAAATATAACATGTGGGCTTTTGTGAATGGTTTCTTTTTTTTTCTAGTTTTATTGAGGTATAATTGAAAAATAGGAATTATATATATATTTAAGTTATACAACTTAAATTGTATGTATAGGAATTGTATATATTTAAATTGTACAAAACAACATGTTTTGATAGATGTATACATTGTGAAATTATCACCATGCTCAAGCTAATTAATACATGCATCACCTCACATGGTTATCTTTTTTTTTTTTGTAATGAAAACATTTAAGATCTACCTTCTTAGGAAATTTCAAGTACTGTATATAATAGCAGTATTGTTAACTGTAGTCACTGTGCTATACATTAGGTCTCCTGAACTCATTTATCTTGCATAACTGAAACTTTGTATCCTTTGGCCAACATCTCATTTTCCCCTCCTGGCAACCTCCACTCTACTCTCTGCTTCAATGAGTTTGACTATTTTAGATTACTCATGTAAATGAGATCATGCACTATTTGTCTTTCTGTGCCTATCTTACTTCACTTAGCATAATGTCCTCCAGGTTCAACTATGTTGTTGCTGGATTTTCTGGGTGTTTTTATAAGGCTGAATATTCCATTGTGTATATATACCCTATGTTTTCTTTATCCATTCATTTGTCCATAGACACTTAGGTTGTTTTGATATCTTGGCTATTGTGAATAAAGCTGCAATGAATATGACAGGTGTTTCTTTGACATTCATGTTTCATTTCCTTTCTACTTTTAAGTTTTTGAGGAACCTTTTTATCATTTCCATAATGGCCGTGCCAATTTACATTCCCACCAACAGGTTACAAGGGTTCCCTTTTCTCCAGCTCTTCCCAACATTTTTTATCTTTTGTCATTTTGTTAATAGCCATCCTAACAGGTATGAGGTGTTATCTCATTGTGTATGTTTTATTTTGTTAAGAGACTGGATCTTGCTCTGTCACCTAGGCTGGAACCCATTGGTGTGATCATTGCTCACTGTAGCCTCCAACTCATGGGCTGAGTGATCTTTCAGCCACTACCTTAGAAGCTGGGACACCAGGCTGCCACCATGCCTGGCTAATTTTTACAAAAAATTTTGTAGAAATGGGATCTTCCTATGTTGCTGGTCTCCAACTGTTGGCCTCAAGTGATCTTCCTGCCTTGGCTCTCAAAATGCTGGTATTACAGGTGTGAGCCACTGCACTAGGTCTTCATTGTGGTTTTGATTTGTATTTCCCTAATTAGTGATGTTGAGTACCTTCTCATGTCCCTGTTGGCTATTTGTATGTCTTTTGAGAGATGTCTATTCTCCTTGGTTCATTTTCTAATCAGGTTATTTGTTTTCTTGCTATTGAGTTGTTTGAGTTCCTCATATATTTTGGATATTAACCCTTTGCACTCAGATGTCAAGTGTGACTCCACATGGTTAGCAAAAATTTTAGAGATTAAAATGACTCTTTGAATGTATCAATAATTTGAAATATTAAAAAATCCAAATAAATAAGTTTGTATGAAAAGAAACTCCAGTTTTTTATTCTACTGCCATGCTTTG